AGAGGGCTCCCAGGTGGTGGTGGGGGCCTGGCCGCCCCGCCGGGACCCCCGGGGAAGACAGGACTTGGAGTGGGAGCCGCGCAGGAACCCCTCTCCCCCTTGGACCCCGTGTTTACAAATGGGGAAACCGAGGCACGGGCCGCCGGCCGGCTCCTGACCGCCCAGGCTGGCCTCTGGAGCGCCCCCGGCTGTGCCATCTCCCCTCGGCGGGGTGGGGCGTTTCGCATCCGTCAGTCCATGGGTGTCGGGGTGTCTGTGGCTTCCGTCCAGGAAGAGCGGCCGGGGTTCGGGCCTCGCTGATGGCGTGTTCTGCTTTTCCTTTCAGTTTCCCCGTTCCCAGGGAGAGGATGGTCTCTGCCCAGCCCGGGTTCTTCGGCTGACAGGTGCGCCCCGTTGAATGAAACAAGGTACACTTTCCTTTTCCTTCCTGTTTACTATCGTTTTTTTAACCATCTGCTGAGCTGGGTCCCCAGCTGGGTCAGCTGCCCGGTTATTCACGTCCTTGGCATCTTTTCTGTCCCACCCCGTGGCCCTGGCGTGTTTTAGAGCGGTTGTCACCTTCCAGCCACCAAGCCTGGCAGCCTCCGGGTCCCCATCATCCCCGCCCCCCCCCCCCCAGGAGACCTAGCTGAGGCGCATCCCCCCACCTTGCTGTCCAGTTCGGGCTAATGGGGATCTGCATACGGTTGTCCCTTTTGCAGCCCTCAGCTCCCGGAGAAAACCCCAGGCCTGGAGAGAGGGTGGGTGTTCATTCACGTTTTGGTTTTTCCGTCCGCCCCCTCATGTCCCAAGTAGACTGAATGGCCCTAAGAATGCAGCTGCCAAGTTCCCACTGGGTAGTGGGTGGATTGAAACTAGAATATTAGTATTGGGACAAAATGGTTGGCTGGAAATCCTTGCGGAAGTTCAGGTACTGTGAACGTCGACTACACCCAGAACGATCTCTGACGTTCGGCGACAGATTTTTACGGAGTTCTGGCGAAGGAGCCTCCTCCGGGCGGTGACGCTTGTGAAGAGCCGTGAAGACCAGGGCCCTGGTCATATACACCATCAGCCGCTCAGCAGCAGCGGTTGCGTGTGGCTGCGCCCTGCCTAGGTTGTGATTTCGTTTGATTTGAGGAAGTCTTCCGTGCAAGACGAGAGAAAGGAGTAATTATCTTACTCATCAAACTGTTAATGTTTTGTTCCTGACTGTCACACCACGGTTTTCAGTCTGTCGAGGTCTTTTCAATAGTTACACGGAATCCATAGGCGCCAGTCACGGCGTGAGAATCTAGGAAGCCAGTTTCAAATGAACCCCAAACAAGTGGTTTTCATAATTGTGAAATAGTCCTTTTTTTTTTTAATAATATAACTAACAACGAGGAGGTGTAAACATTGGCCATGACTTCATTATGAATTAGAGCTATTTTCCAGAGAATTAGGTAAAAAATCATTAAAATACTCCCAGCTCCAGAATCTTTTTCTTTCCTTTTTTTTTTTTTCAGAGCCAAGTAACCTGTCACTGTTCTACAAAACAATAAATAATGAAGCCAATTGAAGACACGTGAGTTGTGCCAGGTTGACAGAACCAGAGCCGATGTCCTCAGAGGTGTTAGAGCAGTATTTCTTAACAAGTGGCCTGAGCCACTGTCCAACATCTCAGATCCAAATAATGATAGGGGATAAGAAAGTGAAGTAAGAAGAAAAGCAGGAAGATAACAAAGGTATGAGAAGATATTCATTTGGAATTAGCTAGTAGTTGCTTGAGCTGAAACATTTACATGAAATAAACAACAGTAGTGAAGTGTTTTAATCCTCACTGGAGGATATTTTTCCTTTTTTTTTTTTTAGAGAAAGTGGACAGAAGTGGGAGAGACAGAGGAAGAGAAACATTGATGTAAGAAAGACTCATTAATTGGTTGCCCCCTGTACCTGCTCCAACTAGGACTCAAGCCTGCAACCTGCATGCCCTTGACCGGAATCAAACCCAGGACCCTTCAGTCCACAGGCTGATGCTATACTCACTGAGCAAACTGGCTAGGGCAGTGTCACTCTTCTTAATTACACTGGGTGGAAAATCCCCTCTCATGAAATTTGTACTTTATACTGTAATGTATAAATGAGAACACTACACATAATCATGTCTTGAAAAGTTTTTACTTAATTTTTCTTACAAACAGCCAAAGTACACCTCTTCTGTGAGGATTTCTTTGACTGTATCTAAATCAGTCCCATCTTCAAACTTCTCCCGAACATCACACTCCCACCACTCTGTGTTATTTTCCTTCTATAACTCATCCCTATCTGAAATAATTTATTTGGTATTTTCTTTTTAATCTTTAGGGGCAGTATTTCAGCGTGGCCATTTTTATTCTGGCTTAGAGAGCCTCCTGTGGTTTTAGAGCACCTCCCGATGGCTCAGGAGATGCAAACTGGCCTTGAATGAGATCTGTCTTTGTTTACTTTAGTGAAGTTCTCTGAACAATTATAACCTGATAACCTGAGAATCAAAGTGGCGCAGTATGTTCTGGAGAGTTAACTACTATCAGATTTTTTTGTTGCTAAGGCTGTTCAGTTGTACTAGGATTATCTTTAGAACAAGGTACTTCTGACCTGTAATATTGGTGTATAAAACTTCTTGATCACCTTTTTATTGCATTGATAGGAGACTGGTAAATATTTGCGTCTCCCAACCCTCATCTCAGTTTAATGACTTTGTTTTAATATAATTAAATTCTCCTTTACTCAGGACTCAGACTGTCAGCAAGCTCAGATAACCAGATATAGTTTCCAATCTTTGTGACCTTGAACTGTTTCTCATCTCGAATGTTGTCAAAAGCAAGGCCTTCTGTTCGGTATGGTTTTGAGCTTGAATACATTTTGTATTCCAGTTCTTTGGTGACTTCATTTAGTACCTACAGTAATTACCGGGCTGTTTGCAATCCCTCAGTTCTTCAGCCTGAAATAAGTGCAATGGTATTTAGATGAACCAGTTGTGGTATATTAACCCTCAAAGTGAAGTGTCCTATTAGAGGCAGTTAAGCAATGAGACCTGAAGGGCAGTAAGAGAACGCCAGTGAAGGCGGCCATCCTAGCTTACAAAGTCTGTATTTTTCAGTGTCCAACACTGGGCTGAGCGCCTAAAAATACTAAACAAACAGACAAACCTCCTTCAGTGATAAAGAACTCATTGACAATATGATGTAAATCTTTCCCACATCATCTCGAGTCAGTTTTTCCTGCTGGGGTGTCTTAAGATTTGATTGCTGTTCTACATACGCCAGTGAAAGGAGAATGTTGGCATTATATTCTTTCTGAAGAGACAGAAAGTCTCTTTATTGACAGATTTCTGCAGTAATGCCATTATATTGAGCTGTTCAAGATCACGAAATGCATCAGTGTGTATAACTCTAGACTACAGCTAAAGTTCCCCATTCAACTCTCTCTGATGATCAGTTGCAATGAAGAGAATCAATTTTTAATATGATAGTTCCTAACCTATTCTTTCTTAATGTATTCTCTCTGAAAGAAGAAAGACCACATGCTTTGTGGTTTTGGAGGATGCTTCTTAAATATTTTATAACTTTTGCTTTGGCTGCTCTAATCTTCTAACATGGCCCGTCCTGTTATGGAGTCTGGGCTGATGCGCACTGGTGCTAACGCAAGTTAGAAAGGAGGTACTGCCCCTTCTGGAGTTCGCTGTGAAACATGGTTCGTGGTCACTCTTGTTAAATTGTCCTCAACCTTTTTAAACCAAAGCATTATGTCCAATTTTTACCAGGGACTGTGTCTTAAATGATTTGTAGAAAACACTTTATAATAAAATTCACTTAAAATATAGTATCCTAATGCAGTCACATAATAATTCAGTTCAGTCTTAGTAGTAGTTCATTGACATTGATGGTTTTATTTTAAATTGGGACATGAATTGTTAAGCTAGGGAACCAATAGAGTAGGTGCTGTTGGCATAGAGTAATTATTAAGACTCAAGAAGTCCTTCATTTTACTATTTGAAGGTATAATTTTTAGAAATTAAAAAATTTCTTTTCAAAATAGAATTGCCATACATAAAACATTTTTTTGGGGGGGGGGCAGCGTGCCAAAATATTTGGATCCTGTTACAGAGAACAGAAGAAGTGCTCCCATTTCAGAGGTTGCTGTTTGACCATCTCAGCCCCTGGGAGCCACCCAGGGCCCATGCAGATTAATATCCCATCACCTGGCTTCTGAGAAGTGACCGGAAGCAGCAGGGCCGTGGAAGGAGGCCTGTGCACGCTGCAGGAGGCCACGGGAGATGGCTGAGGGCAAGGGACAACGGCCGTCTGTCCGTCTGTAGAAGCAGACACAGGGCTCAGGCGCACGGTCTGAATAAGGCCTTCTCACGAAGCAGCAGACACCTCTGCCCTTTGAAAGTCTCAGATAACCCTTTATGCTCATCTGGGTAATTCGATGCGCAAGGAAAAGAGTGCTATTTCCTTGTTGAATTAAGGCTTTGGGTGGCTGTTGGGGTTGCCCCTAGGGGCTTTGTTTATTTGGTGCCAAGATCCGGTGTCCACAGGTGTCTTACGTAAGTGGCAGATATAAATGGATTCTGTTCCTGCTGAAGTAGACAGTGCCCTCAAGTGGAATGAAGACAAATACATGATACAAAAAGACAAGGAAAAGGGAGAGAAGCAGCCGATGCTCCCCTGCCCGGCCCGGCCCTCACCTTGTTGCGCGGACAGCTCAGTGCTGTTGGTGAGGGTGCAGACTCGCTGCCTCGTCTGGCTTGTAGAGGGACGGGCTTTTGAATACTTATCGTTATAGATGCCTCACTACCCTACAGCGCATCCTAAAAGAAATGCTGTCCTGTGCGTAGATTTGCCAGATCCCTTAATCATGAAGTGATGAAACTTAAAATCCGGTTCTTTAGTTTTAGGAGGGTGTGCGTTTTAATTCCAAGAACAAAGTGGTGAATATGATAGTGCTATCAGCTGCCACTGTTACCTGGGACAATGGAAATGGATACCTGTCAGAGGGGAGGGAATAAACACCGTATGTAGACACCACAGAGCCTCATTCATGCGACAGGGAATAGATAGGAACTATTGTTGGCAGTAAGATAATTAATTAAAATGACGGATTAAAGTCCTAATTTGAATTAATGAAATTGTATAGTTTTTAATCATCAATTAGAGTTGAGTAGGCTATTTTAATTTCAAAAGAATAGTATACTTGAAACATTTAAAATGAAAATTGGAAACTGAAAATCATCTTTTGTGTATTCCTTTCTAGTATACATAGTTAGGTATAAAAACATTTATATTTGCTACTATACGGCTATATTTCCTTGGTATGTAGTCCAAGTTTTGATGTCTGCAGAACTGATTTTTTTTCAGATATCTTTAATATAATCAGAGTTACTGTATCTGATGATTTTGATTGTGAGAAATTAAATGATAGCTATGATTAGTATGATTAACATTTGCCTATCTAATGTACAAGATAAGGAAATGGAACAGTCAGATAAAATGTTCCGTTATCAAAATATGGCACATAGATAAATGAATTGTGGCTCAGGATGTGATTTTATGATACTTGGTTGAGAAAAGATGTTGAACATAATAGTTATGATGGATAACTTTTTACATAAACTAGGTATACATACAGAAATAATAGTTTATTTGATTTATGTTATTTTTGTCCAAATACAGCAGCTATCCATTTAGGCAGTTTCTATTAAAAGTGCTACTTTTTAAAGTTTAGAAATGTAAGGATATGCATATAGGGTTATCTTTTACTTAGAATTTGATTTTACAAACATCAGTGCCTTGATAACAAACATTATTATATTGTCTTTGAAGATACTTTACAATCGGATCTCTTTAGTGAAATATGTAAAGTTACAGTACGTACAAATAATATGTCTTTTAACCTTTTTCGATATTTGGGGAGGAATTTTATTTGTGTGTGTTTTCCTGGTTGAGTGAGGTTTTAAAGCTTTTAACCTTAATCCCGGCGCACGCAGAGTGAACGGCTCCTTCTTCTTCTCCTCCCAGGCATTGTGTTTCCCTGGCATTTTGCAGCATGGACACCACGTTGCTCACACCCTGCTTGCGGGCGGCCAGTGAATTTATGTCTTGCGGTTTCGCCACAAACATCGTAGTTCCCCTTTTCTTGAGTTAATACTTTGGAGTTAATGTCACAATGAGTTCAGGCTTATGGAGCCAAGAAAAAGTCACTTCGCCCTACTGGGAAGAGCGCATTTTCTACCTGCTCCTCCAGGAATACAGCGTGACCGACAAGCAAACCCAGAAGGTCCTCAAAGTCCCCAAGGGGGCGATCGGGCAGTACGTCCAAGACCGAGCTGTGGGCCACTCCAGGGCCCCTTCGGCCAAAGGCAAGAAGAATCAGATCGGCTTGAAAATCCTCGAGCAGCCGCACGCAGTGCTCTTCGTGGACGAAAAGGACGTGCTGGAGATCAATGAGAAGTACACGGAGTTGCTCCTGGCGATCACTAATTGGGAGGAGCGGCTCAGCCTGCTGGACAACAAAACCAGGCTGAGCAAGGGCCTCCACGTGGACGTGGGCAGCCACGTGAAGGTGCAGCTGAGGCCCGGGGAGGAAAAGTTCCCCGGAGTCGTGCGCTTCCGGGGCCCCCTGCTAGCGGAGAGGACCGTGTCCGGAATATTCTTCGGGGTAGAGTTACTGGTGAGTGTGAGAGACCATGTTCGTGGGCCGTGTGTGTGTGTGTGTGTGTGTGTATCTGTATGCATGCATGCATTTTCCCCCTTTAAATACCAAATGTCTGCCCAGGAATTTTCCAGAATTTTTACTGTTTATAATCCTGAGAATTTACTTCCTGGTGATAAATTGAGATGATGCCACGACTGATGTGTTGGAAGCTTTAAAAACTTCCTCCTGCAGTAGGAAAATCAAACAGATCATGCAATTATTGAAGACTTGCATATCTCAGAATTAAAACTGATGTGTTGGAAGCTTTAAAAACTTCCTCCTGCAGCAGGAAATGCAAACAGATCATGCAGTTGTTGAAGACTTGCATATCTCAGAATTAAAAAAAAGTTAGTATTGATTTCAGAGAGGAAGGGAGAGGGAGAGAGAGAGAAACATCAATGATGAGAGAGAATCATGGATCGGCTGCCTCCTGGGGATGGAGCCTGTAACCCTGGGCATGTGTCCTGATCAGGGAATTGAGCCGTGACCTCCTGGTTCATGGGTTGACGTTCAACCACTGAGCTATACCAGCGAGGCAGAAATTTTAATATTGTCTGTGTTGAAAAGGAACTCTACTGATTGTACACTAATTAATCACATCAGAAAATGGTTAGTTATCTTGTGACATTATCATCTGTAGCTGTCTCAGCTTTTCTTACTGTGTGTTAGTAAGTGATGGAATTTGGAGGAAAGATTTTTTTCTGAATACATTGTGGCAACGTGAACTTGCTGATTGTTGTTCCTGCTAGTTATGTGAAAGTCATCTTGGAACTTCTTTCTACTGAAAAGAGAACCGAGAACTCGTGATAGGTTTTCAAAATGAATATTAATTCTTGAGAACTTAAATGTCGGTACATTTTGACAGTCTTGCAAATAGAATTTCAGGCCTTGTTTCTCCTTGATTTAATGGTCTAAAGCAGTGCGGCTAAAACAGTGGGAGACCTGAATCCCAGCTATGCCGGTCACTAGCTGGGTTACCAGGTGACTGACCAAGCTACCTCTCTAAGTCGGCTTCCTCGCCTATCAAATAACAACCGACTTACGGGGTTTTAGTGATACATCAATTCAGGACGTAGCATGCAGCTGGCACATAGTATATGCTCAATAAATGGAGCTCGCGTTACCGTTATTTTAAAGTCAAATTTTCTTTCTATGACAATATTATTGTTCAAATGACAATGTAGAATTCAATCCTGCCCTCTCATAGTAGAATTACAATTTGAAATGAAGTAGTTTTATTTCAGCGTCAGATACAGCTTCTTCCTTATTTTCTTAAAAACACCCTAAATCCAGTAGCAACTGCTAATCATTCTATTCCTTGTATGTGTCATTTAGAAATTTTTTCAGTGATTTCCCAGAACTCCCCAGAGTGGATATTTTTTTCTTATGGGTTGTCTTTGTCTATCTGTTTGTCTGTCTGTCTATCGATCTATCTATCTTTTTTCCTTTAAAAACAACCACAAAAAACTAGGAAGAAGGTCGCGGCCAAGGCTTCACGGACGGGGTCTACCAAGGGAAGCAGCTCTTCCAGTGTGACGAAGACTGCGGCGTGTTTGTGGCGTTGGACAAGCTAGAAATCATAGACGAGGATGACAACGGATTGGAGAGTGACTACGCAGGTCCCGGGGACGCAGCGCAGGTGGAACTCCCGCCTCTGGAAATTAACTCGAGGGTTTCTCTGAAAATCGGAGAAGGCTTAGAGTCCGGCACAGTTATCTTCTGTGGCACTTTGCCGGGAAAAGAAAACTTAGGATACTTCGTTGGTGTGGACATGGTAAGAAGCTTTTGGATTACATTATCTCCCTGGATATAGCTATTAGTTCTGTGACCCATTTAGGTACCGATTAGGTGCTTTGAATACCAGGTTTCAAATGGACTAATTTGGAGTAATGTAAAGAGCAGTTCTAATTGATCGTTGGTAAAGGAGCATTGATAGGGGACAAGTTTCAAATGGACTAATTTGGAGTAATGTAAAGAGCAGGTGAGACTAGATAGAGAATTGCATGTCCTCTTTTTATCAGTTTGAATAAACTAAAATGACATTTCCCGTCTTTAAATTTGCTGTATGATAGCTGACCAGTAGACAGAAAAACACACCAACATATATTACATAATACCTTATTTTTCTTTATTTTGAAAAGGTGGTTTTTTTTGGCGGGGGGCGGTCTATTTCTCTTTCTTTAATATTTTGCAAAATTGTATTGGCTGACCTGATTTTAAAGAGTACTGTAAAAATCACCCATGGAAAATACCTGGCTAGAGGAATAGCTCTTGCTCTAGAGGAAGAGACAATGAGAGTATTTTCTGACGATATAACTCACTCAAAAAAAAAAAATTAAACAAAAACTTTTTATCGTGACAAAATACACATGACATACCATTTACCATCGTAACCATTTTCATGTGTCCAGGTCAGTGGCAGTAAGTACATCCACATTGTTGTGCATACATCGCCCCATCCATCTCCAGAACTTTCTCATCATCCCAAACTGGAACTCCATCCCCCTTAAACACGAACGCCCCACACTCACTCCTCAGCCGGCGTTCCCTTGGTAACCTCTATTCTACTTCCTGTCTCTGGGAATTTGCCGATTCTCGGTACCTCATAGAGGTCCGTCACACAGTGTTTGTTTTTTGTTTGTCTCGCTCATTGTTCATGTCCCCTACACCGCTATTTGTTAGTAATGGCACATTCCACTTCAGTGAGTTGAATGAGACCCGTGGGATTTAGAGGAGGAGGAGGAGAAAAGGCTGAGAACCTTTGTGTCACAGATTGAAAATATGGACAAGAGTTTGTTAGATATAAAGGAAGACATTCATACGGAGTTATGACACACTAGCATGAGGTAGGAGCGGATGTGAGAAACAGACTCTGTACTCACGGTGTCTGCAGCGATTACTCCTCTCTGTTCAGGCGTGCTTGCGGGTGGGGTATGAATGTTTGGGCCTCAGTTTCTCTTACCCTGTGCTGGGAAATTCTAGGAAATCCCCCTCCATAGCCCTTAGTTAGACAAGCATGACTGTGCTGTTTAGACCAACATTCAGTGGATGTTTAACATGAACAAAGGGTTAGAGACAGAGTCAAACCCGTGGGTCCCTCAGGAGAGCTAGCAGTTAAGCACGCCTTCACACCATTCTTTTTTTTTTTAAAAAAATACATTTTGATTGATTTCAGAGAGAGAGGAAGGGAGAGGGATAGAGAGATAGAAACATCAATGATGAGAAAGACTCATTGATCACCTGCCTCTTGCACGCCCCCTACTGGGGATCGAGCCTGCAACCCCTGCATGTGCCCTGACCGGGAATCGACACGGTGACCTCTTGGTTCCTGGTCCACACTCAACCACTGAGCCACATCAGCCGGGCCAAACCATTGTTCTTTAAATACTGAATATTAATTTAGAGGAAAGATGGTGAGCTGGGTGAAGGGAGGTTGGAGAAGGAGGGCAGCTGGTCAGTGGGTTAGTCTCCTTTGCTTCAGGTCATTGGGGCCTCAAACTTGGCCAAAGCCGGGGAGGCCTTGCCCTCCTTAGCTGGCAGTCTGGGCCTCGCCTGGTCCACTGGGGCAGGCTGCCTAGCGGTTAGACCCTCCCGCCCCCCGCCTCTCCCCTGCCTCTCCCCTGCCTGTGTCCGTGCTCGGCTGGCTGTGCGACCATCCTAACCCCTCTCGGGCACTCTCTTCAGTTCCTCCTGATCCCGTGACATTTAGCGTGTTGTGCACACGGGTGCTCAGCGTAGTTCTCTGGCCCAAAGAAACAGTTAACCGTGACAGCGTGAGAGGGTTGGGGGAATCTTTTATGGAACACGCAGGCTTTGATCTTGAAGTTGATTCTGTCATTCACTTCCAGGATAACCCCATTGGCAACTGGGACGGCAGGTTTGACGGCGTGCCGCTCTGCAGCTTTGCAAGCGTGGAGAGCACGCTCCTCCTGCACATCAACGACATCATCCCAGGTCTGTCCCTTCCGTTTCCTGGAGGAAGTGGGTGGCGTTGGAAGGATGTGCTTTGTTATGAGGATGCAGATACAAGCTTCGAGGTGCACTGTCGGAGCTTTTATAAAATTGGGAATTGCTGTTCAATAGACTGTGCTTTCTCACCCCCACATGGAAACAAGACAGACAGCGTTTTCTCTCCGAGGATCTGTGAGCGCGGGTGCCATTCACTTTTCCTCAGCTGTCCGTTCTACGTGTGTGTGTGTGTGTGTGTGTGTGTGTGTGTTGGGGGGGGGGTTGTTTCTGATACCAGAGGAGTCAGAAATGTGATAAAGTGCTACCTGCTTAAGGGAGAGCCTGGTTGAAACTAGAAACGTAAAGCAGAAGTCGGTCATTTAATCCAGTCTGATGGGCAGGGGCGAGGCGGGAGGCCCGGGCGGGCCCTGTCTGTTTGAGACGCTGTGATTGATCAGGCTTCCTGCCTCTGCAGTCGGCAACGGCTCACTCAGCTTTACGTCTTTAAAAAATCCCAACAATCCTTTATTTCACCTCGAACAAGTCGAACCTGATGGCCGCTGTCAGCTGTTGGGTACACCCCTCCTGGCGGCTGCCCCGCAGCACCGTCCTGCTCCTGGTAGATCTCCAGGCATCGCCAGCCAGTCGGTCAGATGCTCACTATACACTGACAGGCGGCTGGGCGGGAGACTTACTGAGCGTTATGCCATCGGGGTAAAATGCCATGAGGCTGCGTGCAGCAGCCACAAGTGCATGAACCCCCGAATTAGATGACTTAGACTCTTGCATTCTTGACAGACTTACAAGGTAGGTCTGAATTATCCCCATTTTGCTGATAAAAAACACGGGGGCTTAGATCGGGCCCGAGGGGACCACGATCGACTGGGGTCAAGTCCAGACCGGTCAGATCCGAAAGCTCCGTTCAAGTGGCCTCCTCACCCCGTCCTGTGTGTACACGTGGGCTGGAGACCAGCCTGGAAAAATATACTTCGCAGCCTCGCTCCTGTGCTCGAGATACAGTTTCCATGGAGATGTATTTTGTCTCTAATTCTATGGAAGCTAAATTTTACTGGAACAAGGATGACAAGTGAACAAGGCGGTTTGTTTGCTCCCAGTGTTTTTCCATTTCTGCTGATTTTGACACAGAACACTGCGAGTCCCCCCTGGTCATCTCAGGCCTCGGTTTCTTCTGTAAACACGGAGGGGCCGATACTGGATGGTCCTGGGAGTCCTTCTGCCTGCACGGTCTGGCCTCCCTTTCCTGTTGGCTGACAATGTGAAATGCTTGTTGGGCGGCGTTAGGAAGCGCTTTCTACGTTGGACTGTAGCTTTACGGCGAGAGCACATTGACTTAGTTGGAGGCGTTGAAATGACAGCTAAATCTCCCTTTTACTTTGTAAAGTCTGACATACTGTGACCTTGATTTCTTTGAAATCAGTTCTTTCCTGTAAATGGGCTTTCTAGCGATTTCTCTGCTTCTCTTTGGAACCTGGGTTGCATTCACAGGCGAGCATACAGGTGGTCAGATTGACCTTAAGCCTGTTTATGGAAAGAACATAATTGGTTATCTGATAAATCTCAGTACTTTTTAATGGCGCGATACATGCTTATGTTCAGAAGGCAGTTTTGTAAAAGGCCATTCGTTCATTCAAACACAGTCAGCCTGCACTCAGGCTTCTGGTGGGGGTTGAGGTCTAGTACAAAGCAGGACATGAAGCCTGCCCACACGGAGCTTTCATTCCCCGAGTGCGGATGGATGGGACGCAGTAAAACACAGGGCCGGTTAGATGTGGGCGGTGGAGAGTGGGGAGCGAGGTGAGGGGAAGGCAGTGCTGGGCCTGGGCGGAGGGGCGGAAGGCGAGCACAATTTCTAGAAGTTAGAGCATTTAGCTGAGTTGTACTTGGGGTGTTTTATCGGGTAGAAATTCCGCTTCAGAATACAGCATTGATTCCGATACTTTTGATGGCCTTTAATCATTTGTAAAACTATTGTGCAAATACTGCTTCTTTGTTGGGAAGAGACTTTTGTTGCTATGTCATTATTTGCCAGTTGTTTTTACCGTTAAAGATCGTGTTTTCCCGTTTCAGATAGCGTGACCGAGGAGAGGAGGCCTCCCAAGCTGGCCTTTGCGTCAAGAGGCACTGGGGACAAAGGTTCCTCCAGTCACAACAAACCAAAGGTGACAGGTATGGATGACCAGAGCGCAGTGCTCAGCTGTAACTGGGCCTTGAGAAGAGGCTCAGGTGTTCGCCTGCCAGGCGGGGAGACGTGCTCCGTTCAGCTGGTTTTAGTCGTTTCCTGACATTTTTCATGGATGGTGTTGACCAAGCCAAGGGTTCCAACCCGTTTTGGTTGGAGAAGCGTTTCCGGCGAGGACCTGTGTCTTGCTGGTCCGTATCCGCTGGCTTCTGGTCCGTATCCGCTGGCTTCTGGAACTCCCTGCTCGCGACATTTGTACCTTGTTTAGAGGTGCAGCTGTACAAACGAATCATTCAGGGCGGGCAAACATAGTTTTGTAGTTGTGAGCGCGTGAAACACAGTTTCTTCTTCTTCTGTTATTGTTGATTATGATGGCATTATTTGTCACCTGAACAACGGTGACCTGTGTTTGCCCTCCCTGCATGTGGCTAAGATGTTACCTGGGATAAGTACACCAGAGGCTGACTGTGTGGCTCTCACTAACTAGATGTGCACAAATGAAATTCCCAACTGCTAAGCAAACAGTTTGTCCCTCTCCCAGAAGCTCCCCCGAAATAGATGCGGAGTTCTTAGCTCTTTCTGTCAGCTGCCACGTATTTCATAGATGTATGGATGGTAGTTATATAAGCTGAAGAGCTCATTTAAAAAGCTGTAAGAACTTTTGCTAACTCAGAAGTGGGTTGGGGAAGAATATTTTCTCCTCGGTCGCCTAGTGAACAAAACTATTTTGGCTCATTTGAAAGGAAATTGTGCTTGAGAAATATTTTATCTGACATTGGACCCTGGGCCGCTTAGAATGAAACAGACTGTATAGGTGATAGTATTCTTTGTGTTAACCTTTAGGTCTAGATAGGGTAGCTCAAACACACGGCCCTCACTTACATAAATAGCCCAAGTATGTAAGACGTGTGTTGCTTATGTTGCAGCAGACCTGGTTGTAGGCATAAAGCAGGAGCTGGCTGCTGTGAATGGAGGGAAAGCCAGGTTTTGTCTGGTTGCTAGCATCCGCAGCAGCCCTCTCAGTGCTGGGGCGGGTCCCGTCTTAAATGTCTGAGGCATAGCAACACCGACCCTTTATTACGGTGAGTGAGTCGACGATGTAGGAAATAGCACAGCTTCACTCTCTCCAGAATCAAAGACATTCAGCCAGGAATCCGATGCCCAACGATTCCAAAATACTTAAACCTTGAATTTTTAAAACTGAATTTGTTCAACGTTTGAAGGTTCCCTCCTTCTGAGAGCAACTCCTCTAAATATTAGAGGCTAAATCTGTGAGCCCACAGGTTTGTCAAATGAAATTGGGGAATGGTGATGTTGACATTCGGATATAAGCCAGTATATGAAATGATTAAAAAAACATTTTCTAAAAGCAGTTTGTTTAAAAATTTATATGGTTTTCTTTAAACTTACTTGTTTCCCCTCCTATGTTGAGTCTTGGTTGGAAGAATCTTTCAGGTTCTTCCAAAATGGTTACCAGAGTTTTAAAAGCCGCCGGCACTGATAAAGCCGTGTCCGTGGGCATCGATGGGCTGTGTGAATAGTTAACACCATGTGCGTGTTTATTTCAGTGATGGAAATGCTTCCACACCAGATTGCCTTTCTGTTTAAAAGGAGCTTTTCTTGTTCCATAGGCTCTACCTCAGACCCTGGAAGTAGAAACCGATCTGAATTATTTTATACCTTAAATGGGTCTTCTGTGGACTCACAGCTGCCACCCAAGTCAAAAAACACGTGGTACATCGATGAAGGTAATCCCCAGCCTTAACTCAGCAGAGAGGAATGGCGACGTCACCCATAGCTGCAGTTTTGGGAAATTGAATGAGTATATTGCTGAACTGAAATATTGTGCACAGCTGGAACTGCACGGCTGAGGTTGATAAAACTTTTAGAAAATGTATTAGCAGCTGTTCTCCTGGCCCAGCTGACCTGCGGGTAGAAGGTCTCTAGAATCAGTGAATCATTTAAAGACCTCTCCGTCGGGGTCTTTGTCTCTTTAACACACGCCCTTTGAAAACCCTTCCTTCCCTTGGTTCTGGGCCATCGTGTTCTCCTGGTTCCTCCTCTTCTTCTTCGTCTGTTCAGCACGTGTGTTTGGGTGCTTACTCTGTGCCAGGCCTTCTTCTAGGCACCGGGTTACGTGTGAGAATAGGCGTGGTCGTCGCCCTGGCTGTGTGTACGATCAGGTTGTTACAGTAGATCAGGGTGTCAGTGATCAGACACAGGTAGAGTTGCAGCGGTGCGTGGAGGTGTGTATTCCATCAGATACAAGGATGGAAGTGCAGTGAGGCCTGACTTTACTTGGGGGCTCAGGTTGTTTCCCCAGGAAAGTGACAGGCGCTTAGATTCACCGGAGCAGTGCGGTGGGTGAAGGGAGGAGTCAGGAGGGCCTTGCAGGCGGAGGGAACAGCGTATGGGAAGCCTCGTGGGCAATGGAGCCTGGGGTTCAAGGACCAAAGAGCCAGAGCAGCTAGAACAGAGGGGCCTAACTCTCCTGGGAAGGCACCAGGCCCAGGGCACGTGAGGCCTGGCCCCAGTGGAAGGCCCGGGAAGCCCCGGAGGGCTTGCAGCAAGGCGTGACCCGACCAAGCTTCCCTTTGGAAAGGCTCACCCTTGCTGCAGCGTGGGCAGGGGTCGGAGCAGGCGTGTGTGAGCGCCTGGGCCCGGGATGGCTGCTGGGGCTCGGTCCGGGATGGTGGGAGCGGGGACAGGGCTGCTGGGGAAGAGCTGGGAGCGGGTGGCTCTGGGCCATGTGGAGTGAGTTGACAGGACTCCCAGAGAGTCCGGGCGTGAGAGCTGAGGAGGAGAGATGTCCGTGCCGACTCCATGGTTTCTGTTTGCACACTTGGGTGATTGTGGAGGAAGCGAGGGGTTGCTTTTGACTATGAGGGTTGGAGGGCCTTTCAGACTCCAGTGGTGACTTGTCACACAGGCAGTTGGAGATACAGATCTGGGGCTTAGAAGAGAGGGAAGAGCTGGAGAAAGGGAGCTGTAGGCTGCCTTCATGCATGTGGTGATCAAAGTCCCAGAATAGTGTCGCCCAAGGATAGAGTGGATGGAGGGTGCGGGCGAAGGCTGAGCCTCGAGGAACTTAATGGCTTGGAGGCATCATTCTCTCCGCTCTCTCCTCTGAGCTTCCCGCATCTTTAATTTAATGTTTCTCCTGTTTTGTTTTTTTTTTTTAATTAGAGTTCTGTAAGTTTGCATCTGTAGACTCTTAATTCTGCATATTTTGAGCTTTATATACAAGGAATCGGACTATGTATCTGTGTAGTTTCCCCACTCAGCATTAGGTCCCTAAGATTCATCCCAGTTCTAGTGCATGAGTATAATTTTCATTGCCGCATAGTATTCCGTCCCATTAGGTTTCTTCTTCTTATTGCCCCCCCCCCTTTTTTTTTTTTTACTGATTTATAGACCTTTTCCAAATTCCAATCCTTTGTCAGATACAAGGATGGAAGTAATTTCTCCTTGTTTGGGCTCATATTTTCAGTCTTACTATGCTGCCTCTTACTGAACAAGCAGCTCTTCATTTTCATGTGACCATGTTTGTCCGTTTTTTCTGTTGCTGTGTGTATACCAGTGATGGCGAACCTTTTGAGCTCGGCGTGTCAGCATTTTGAAAAACCCTAACTTAACTCTGGTGCCGTGTCACATATAGAAATGTTTTGATCTTTGCAACCATAGAGTTAGAAACATCGATGAGAGAGAAACATCGATCAGCTGCCTCCTGCACGCCCCCTACTGGGGATGTGCCTGCAACCAAGGTACATGCCCTTGACCGGAATCAAACCTGGGACCCTTGAGTCCGCAGGCCGACGCTCTATCCACTGAGCCAAACCGGTTCGGCATATAGAAATTTTTTGATATTTGCAACCATAGTAAAACAAAGACTTATATTTTTGATATTTATTTTATATATTTAAATGCCATTTAACAAGGGAAAATCAACCAAAAAAATGAGTTCATATGTCACCTCTGGCACGTGTGTCATAGGTTCGCCATCACTGGTATATACTCACGTTTAAGACCTTTCTCTCCAACCTACCGTCGTAAAGAACACTCCCCTCTGCTGTCTCCCCAAAAGTCACAGGTTTGCCGTTCACGTTGTTTCTGAGCCACTGGGAGTGACTTCGGGTAGAGCGTGGATGGCTGGTGGTCCCCGAACTACATACTAGACGCTCCTTCCCCACCGGCCGCACTGCCTGCCGGCAGCTGTGCTAGTCACTTCAGTGAAAGAGCCTTTGGCTTTGGTTCTCTTTACTGTGTTTTCTCCCTCATTCATTTCTGTTTTTATTCAAAATTTCCTTTTGACTACTTTTTGGTTCTTCTAGCTTCTTCAGTTGTATGCTGAGGTCATTAATAACATCTTTTTTCTAAAATAAATGATTAAGTCTGTACATTTCCTTGAAAGGTATGACTTTAGACATGTTCCACGGATGTTGTTTTTTCTCTCTGTCTTTTTTTCTTTACTTTAAACACTTACACCAGTTTTTCTTTGGTCCATTTGTTATGGAGAAGCATCTTTCTTAAATGTCGTGGCGTCTTTTGTGGTGGTTTCTAACCTCACTGTGCCACGGACAAGGAAGAGAACCTGTCCAACCCTAATCGATAGTAGGTGTTTGTGGATTGGACCGCGGGGTGGCGTTCACTGAGGTGGAAACTTGGAGGTGGGCGGAGGCTGAAGACGTGGTGAGGAGACGTCGAGGCTGTGTGCGGTGACGTCCCGCCAGGGGGCGGGCGGGCAGTGGGGCCCGGTGTGCGGGCACCTGCGGGGCGGTGGGGGTTGCCTACCACCTGCCGTGCGTTCCTCTAACCGGAACGACTCTCTGCAGTTGCCGAGGACTCTGCCAAGTCGCTTACCGAGCTGCCTCCGGAGCTGGGACAGGCGTCGCCCCCTCTGCAGCCCCCGACCATGAACTCGCTGTCCAGCGAGAACCGATTCCACTCCTTACCCTTCAGCCTGACCAAGATGCCCAATGCCAACGGCACCATCGGCCACAGCCCGCTCTCCCTGTCCGTCCAGTCGGTGATGGGCGAGCTGAACACCACGTCTGTCCCGGACAGCCCGCCCGTGGCCGCGTCCCCCGGGAGCTCCCACGGGCTGGAGGTGGGCTCGCTGGCGGAAGTCAAGGAGAACCCTCCTTTCTACGGGGTGATCCGCTGGATCGGGCAGCCGCCGGGCCTCAGCGAAGTCCTCGCCGGGCTGGAGCTGGTAACGTCCTCCACCTAGAATCGCCCTCCTCTGCTAGCGGGACGGGGCGGATTGCCCCTGCTCCATGCTTTGCTGAAATGTTGTATGTTCAGAAGAGCCGTCACTTCAGAACAGTTTTACTCCCGTGTCGCCTGACTTCCCCTGCCACCCAGTGACCCTTGGTCACCTGTTCTGAAGTGACAGCCGATCAACGGCCGGGAATGGAAATGGAGCGCGAGGTTCATGTTTAGGCTCATTGGTTAAACAGAGGACGCGAGGGAAGCAGCCCCTGATCAGCCCCTGTTTTCCTTCCCAGCCTCCCTCCCCAGCCAGCGCTAATGTCCACATCACTGGCTTTAGATTAATCCCCATTTTAAGAAATCTTTTGGGGTCTTCGCCAGAAGGAGAGGTTTTCCCTTTGGAGATTAGGAAAGTATATCGCTTGACATTTCATAATCGGGAGAGGAGAATTGAGCGCGTTTAGCTTTATTTAGATGGGGTCTGTGCTATCTGCATGCTCGTTAATGCTGCTTTGGCGGGGGGAGTTGGTTAAATGAACAGCCTCTCTCCCCTTGGCCCCTCCCCCCCACACGCGGAGTTTTAATATTTTTGGAAAAGGTGCAGGAAGGTCAGTTAGCCGGGGAAGGTTCCAGCATGGATTCTGAGGGGACCACTGAGGGCTTCGTGCCGATTAAGGAGCGAATTTCTGAAATCGTTAGCTGTGGGCCGCAATGCTGCTTCGCCAGGCTTTTCCGGAGGGGTCCTCAGTCCAGGTGGGGTGCGGGGTTCCGGGAAAGGGTGCAGGCACACAAGCCTTAGTTCTCTGCACGCTACCCCTGCACGAGGCCGAGTGAGGCACGGGCCCGTCTCTCCCGCAGGAGGACGAGTGCACGGGCTGCACGGACGGCACCTTCCGGGGCACCCGCTACTTCACCTGCGCCCTGAGGAAGGCCCTCTTCGTCAAGCTCAAGAGCTGCCGGCCCGACTCGAGGTTCGCGTCCCTGCAGCCGGTGTCCAACCAGATCGAGCGCTGCAACTCTCTAGGTACCTGCCCTCCCTGGTCTGCAGGGCTCGGGTCTGGCCTCAGCCGCGGGCAGGAGGCGGCGGGGCCGTGACAGATGTGTGTCTTACAGCCTTCATCAGGCCTCTAAAGCGGTCAGAGTTGTTGCCTGGTGTGTAAGGAAGCTACAGTTATCCTAAGCGGGGACGTTTAAGGAAAGGAAAAGCCAGGCAAACGCGTTTGAGACTTAGGAAGTGAAAATCGTGGGATTTCTTTTTGTCTTCCTGTGGACGACACAATGTAGTTTTCAGCAGCCCAGGAGGTAGATGTGTGCGTTTGGGGCACGACTCCCTGCTCAGACTCGTTCCGGGGCGTCGGTGAGCGTGTGCTGTCAGCAGTGCCGCCCCCTCCATGCCAAGTGCACGAGTCCGCGCCTGGCACGCAGGCAGCGCTCACAGCAGCGGCTCAGCGGGCTCCACGCAGGGCGCAGCGCGTCCCCATGGTGGCGGCGGCTCCTGTGCCACCCCTCCCGGGTGACCATGGGGAGCATTCCGGGGCCAGGCAGGCTGCGTGGGAAAACCCTCCTAGGAAGACATTTCTCATGCGGTTGAGATAGTACCTCGGAATTTTTGTTTTCTTTTCCAACTTGAAAAGGACACATCTTCAGACAAATAATGAAGTATTTGGGGAATAAAATACCTTACGTGGCAGGTGCTTTTTCACATGAATTCCTTAGTATTGTGCAGTGATTTCTAACTTGTGGAGGCAGTGAGGCTGGACATGCACAGTAGCATTTTTCACACGCCCAGCGAGTAACAGTAACCCCAACCTACCCTTACCTTAGCTTTGAGTTGAGAAACAAATTTTGCCTCAAAATGCAAAAGAATATTTTAAGTGAAGACATATACAGGGAGGCCTGTGGTCATAGTTTAAAAGAATGACTGTCTCCACCTTTATTTTCTTCTTTTCAGCCTTTGGAGGCTACTTGAGTGAAGTAGTGGAAGAAAATACTCCACCGAGAATGGAAAAAGAAGGTTTGGAGATCATGATTGGAAAGAAGAAAGGTATCCAGGGCCATTACAATTCTTGTTACTTGGACTCGACCTTGTTCTGGTAAGTTTACAATTAACCCCGTAGGATAGAGCGCCCTGGGCAGTGAGTGAGTGTGTGAGAGAGAGGGAGAGAGAGAGAGAGAGAAAGAGAGAGAGAGAGAGAGAGACACACTGCTCACTGCATTCGAGTAGAGCGACCGGGTGTCTGCACCTGAGACAGAAGGGAGGCTTGCATTTCATTATGTGCTGCCTGTACTCCTCGGGACCTGGGCTCCTGGGAGCCCGTATTCATGAAAAGCACGGATTTCTCTGTTGTTTGTTCCCCAGACCTGGCGGCTTGTTCTTCACATTCTCTTCTGTGTGTGTTTCTCGAGAGGATAATGGGTTCACAGCGCGAGGACAAACCCTGTGTGTGTTTTGCAGCTTGTTTGCCTTCAGTTCTGTTCTGGACACCGTGTTGCTTCGGCCCAAAGACAAGGACGACGTGGAGTATTACAGTGAGACGCAGGAGCTCCTGCGGACAGAGATCGTCAACCCGCTGCGGATGTGAGTAGGGGCCGCTTGTTGCTGCCTGAGCGCGGCGTCCTAGTTGCTGTTTCTTGGTAAAGTTATTAGTTTCCGCCTGGTTTTTATTTAATACGAAATGGGTGGAATTTATTTTCTTGATGGAGTTTTAATGATGTGTTTAGCCTTTGGTCCTTGTACTGCCTCTGCTCATTTAATTTTGAATCTGGCCAAGGTGTAGCATGCAGTGTGTGTCACGGAGCGATGGGCCCAGTGGTGGACGGCGCCACAGGGTAGCAATGCAGGGGGCGCGGGAGAGCCGAGCCGGCGGGCTCCTCTCTTCGGAAAGAGCTGATCCCAGCCCGGCAGTCACTGTGCCTCTTAGTCCAAATGATACTCTGGCTTCTTAAGTCTGATTTCATTTGGGAGAAAAGGAGCAAAGGAGAGTTTTATTGGTTGGGTAGTGAGTGTTCATGCATTCTTTATCTCTGCAGCCAACATATAGTGAGCACCTAGCACTTAACATAAAAAATTTAAAAAAGATCAGCCAGTTCTGAGTGGCCCTTGGGCAGCCCACGGTGGCCTCTCACCTCTCTTCTGAAGCCGCTGGAGTAAGCGTTTGTCGCGGATGGACGGTGTGGAATGGATCCTGTGCTCAGACAGACACGAGCGAAAGTGTCACATGACGATGGCGGGTTTGAGAGCACATTTTAGATTTTCAGTGTCTTAGCACCACCCTTTGCCCTGCCTCCTGGTGGCTGTCTCATGCTTTAATACTAAAAGGACTCTCTCTCTCTCTCTCTCTCAAAGTTACATATTCAGTTCTATAAAGTTAGCTCTGATTTCTTAAGCAAATAGCATTAACCAGTCATCATAAAATCCAAGTATTTTTTCTTGTATTAGTATGTGGTAGTTATTTTTAGGGTATAATAGTGTCTGGGATAATTCTCATTCCAGATTCTTAATTTTTCAAACTCACCCCCGTAAATCAATAAAAAGGAAAAAAAGAAGCCTATAATTGTATTTTTCAAAATAATTGTCTAGCCTATTGATTTATGACATGCTGAAGTTATATAAGGAATTTGTGATTATCAAAATATGTTATATGAATTGAATGTGTGTGCCAGTGTTAATTCATATTTTTACTAACATAGATATGGATATGTGTGTGCCACAAAGATTATGAAACTGAGGAAAATACTTGAAAAAGTTGGGGCTGCGTCAGGATTTACCTCTGAAGAGAAAGGTGACTGTCTTCCCTCCCAGGACCTGCCCTGAGATGACCTGGCGCCTGCCACGTGACGGCCCGTGCAGAGCAAGGGGGAGGTTTTAAACAGAAACGTCCATGCGGTGTACAATTTCCTCCCCTTTTACTTTTAATTTTTATTATTTTTTAATTTATACTTTTATTGATTTCAGAGAGGAAGGGAGAGGAGAGCGAGATAGAAATACCAGTGATGAGAGAGAATCATCGATCGGCTGCCTCCTGCACACCCCACACTGGGGATCAAGCCCGCAACCCAGCATGTGCCCTGACCAGGAATTGAACCTTGTCCTCCTGGTTTGTAGGTCGACGCTCAACCACTGAGCCACGCTGGCCGGACTGCTCCCCCTTTTAAAATGCTGTCTCTCTTCTAAAGGGAGTGGCAATATGGAAGAGAGAGCTCCGTGAGCAGCGGGCGGGTTGTAGGCAGGCGGTGGGTACCCGGGCATGTTCCTCCCCAGCGTTCCCATCCAGCGGCCCATTGGATCCCTCTCCGCGGGAGGGTGGTCGGCTCAGCCACACCGTCCCACGGAGCCTCCTGCCGCAAAGGGTGAAGTTACGGTCAGAGTCAGCGTTCTGTCTGTTCATGGCTACTGGCTTTCCTCCGAGATGCAGCTCCTGACTCTGAACGTGCTGACAGCGTGTTGGAACTAGCTGTAATGCTTAGAGACTTGGTAATTATTTAAGTGTCAGGAAAATACAAGGTACTTCAGGCTTCATTCCACTTATCTTAAACCCCTCAAAAGAAATTAAAATTATGTCATCATGCGTGAATGATTATACCTTTTCAAATGCAATAATATCATAACAAAGTTAGAACTTAATATTTTATCATATCCTTTGTATTTTTAGTTAGGAAAACATGAGAACTGTGCTTTTAATTGAAATTAGATTGACTATGAAACTGGATTCAGTATAGGTATATGGCTGTTATAAAAAATAGAATGATTTAAAAGTTTGGCAGGGACTTATTTGATTTTTTATTTTCTCCTAGATCCTGAAGAATTCTTGAATATCTTGTTTCATCATATTTTAAGGGTGGAACCATTGTTAAAAATAAGGTAATGTCCACATTTTTTAAAAAATATATTTTATTCATTTTTTACAGAGAGGAAGGGAGAGGGATAGAGAGCTAGAAACATCAATGAGAGAGAAACATCGACCAGCCGCCTCCTGCACACCTCCCACTGGGGATGTGCCCGCAACCAAGGCACATGCCCTTGACTGGAATCGAACCTGGAACATTTCAGTCCGCAGGCCAATGCTCTATCCACTGAACCAAACCGGACGTTTGGTAACGTCCACATTTTTATAGACACCCTGGAAAAGAGACACCTTGTCCCCTCTGCCATCGGCTGCCAACGAGGCCCCTCAGGGATTACGTCACATCCGTGTGTTAGGGTCTCCATGGGCTCCGTCCCACAGGCACATTAATCTCCACCATCGTCTTCTCCGCAGCACTAACTTATTAACTCAGGGACGCATTGAATAAAAACAGAATCCTGAGACCTGGAATAGTGGATGGCTGGGGAGAAAGACGTTTAATTATTTTATCTAAATTATTGCCTTTGCCCCGTTGGTCTGATGTCGGCAGTTGCACCATCAAATGCATAGTTTTCTGTTCTCAGACGCTATTGGAACCATTCACGTTGTGATGTATTTCACAAGGGAACTCTGTGGGGTTTTCTGCGTGTTTTCTTTCAGGTCAGCGGGTCAAAAAGTACAAGATTGTTACTTCTATCAAATTTTTATGGAAAAAAATGAGAAAGTTGGAGTTCCTACAATCCAGCAGCTGCTAGAATGGTCTTTTATCAACAGCAACCTGAAATTTGCAGAGGTCAGTGGTCGTGGCTTGTGTTTTATATGGAAGTTCTGACCGGGAGTCAAACCCTGACCTCCTGGTTCACAGGTCGACGCTCAGCCACTGAGCCACGCAGGCCGGGCTCGCAGGGAAGGTTTCCCAGCACTTTGATTCTGAAACACTTACCTTTTTCAGGCCCCGTCGTGCCTGATCATCCAGATGCCTCGGTTTGGGAAGGACTTTAAGCTGTTTAAGAAGATCTTCCCTTCCCTGGAGCTGAACATCACAGACTTGCTGGAAGACAGTGAGTAGGAGCGCTGCTTGCTCTGCTGCTTCCTCAGAGAGTCCGCAGGGCTCCCCTCCGCTGCGAGAGGGAGCGGGTGCAGGCCTTCCGCAGGCATCCGTGTCTGCGCCGCCGGGAGTGCGCGGCTAGAATGCATTCTGAGAACATCGTCAGGGATGCCAATGCATATTTAACACGCGCACAGGTTCACTGGTGCCTGAGTAAGAGTTAGAAGCAATCTGTATGTGACCATGGGGCGAGCTGTTAAATGAATTACGGTGTATCCGTCCTGTGTTAGAAGACCCGTAGTGTGAAAGTGATGATGTGACGTTAAGTAAAAGGTCATGTCGATATTTTGTACAAGAGGAGCTATAAACACACACACACACACACACACACACACACACACAGCATTGTACATGTGCAGATGTAAAGGCTTGGAGAAAGGAGCTGTGAACACACACACACACACACACACAGCATTGTACATGTGCAGATGTAAAGGCTTGGAGAAAGGAGCTGTGGACACAGGAGCTGTGTAGACGTGTGAGGCAGAGGATGGAGGACGTGCAGGTGCTGTTGGCAGTGGCCTCTCTCGCTAACGGAAAGGGGATGCTGTCAGCTTTCCCTGTGCCGCCTGCATCGTTGAAAGTCCTTCAATAGACTCTTCATAGTCGGGGGGAAGCGCCCTAGAACATATTAATTTAAAAAATTGTCATTTGGTCAGAGAAATTTTTTAAAGTTATCCCGAATCCACGGAAATCCAATTTAAAGCTTAAGGGGGTGGGAGGGAGAGCCTGTTTTGAGCCCATGAACATTGTCCTTTTTTTTTTTTTCAATTAAAAAAAACCATATTTTATTGATTTTTTACAGAGAGGAAGGGAGAGGGATAGAGAGTTAGATACATTGATGAGAGAGAAACATCGATCAGGTGCCTCCTGCACACCCCCTACTGGGGATGTGCCCGCAACCAAGGTACATGCCCTTGACCGGAATCAAACCTGGGATCCTTCAATCCTCAGGCCGATGCTCTATCCATTGAGCCAAACCGATTAGGGCTGCATTATCAATTTTGATAATAAAAAGGGAGCGGGGGGGGGGGGGAGGAATATTTTGGCATGGAGCAGAACGTCAACTCTACAAATACAAATTATAAAAAAATTATAATTATGTAAGAACATTGTCCTTTTTAGAGCTTAAGTTTTTAATCTTTTTCATGAAAGAGTGCATTTTAAAGGCCCCTCCCCCATCCCGCCCCAGCCCCCCGACAGTGCCGCATCTGCGGAGGGCTGGCCATGTACGAGTGCCGCGAGTGCTACGAGGACCCCGACATCGCGGCCGGGACCATCAAGCAGTTCTGCAAGGACTGCAACACCCAGGTGAGCCCCCCCCCGAGGCTGCGCGCGCACTCCGCAGGCGGTGGGCTCGGAGGAGTTCTCGCCTCATCACGAACGCCCGCAAGTTCACGGTCAGGGGCCCGGTTCCTGCCCGTGTGCACCTGACAGACTCCCGTGAGGACTGGGTTGCGGGCCCGGGAGGAGTCAGGGCGAGGGAGTGGAGCCCGTCACCAGCATCCCTGAGCCTGGCTCGTGCTGCTCTGTGTAGGTCCACTTCCACCCCAAGAGGGCGAACCACAAGTATAACCCGGTGTCCCTGCCCAAAGACCTGCCCGACCGGGACTGGAGGCACAGCTGCGTCCCCTGCCAGAAGATGGAGCTGTTCGCCGTGCTCTGCATCGAGACCAGCCACTACGTGGCCTTCGTCAAGTACGGCCGGGACGACTCCGCCTGGCTCTTCTTCGACAGCATGGCCGACCGGGACGGTAACCGCTCACTCTCAGCTCCCGTGGGGCCGCGTCCCGTCCTCGGGGACAGTGTGGGGAGGCCCCCAGGGACAGCGGGTGACAGCATGGCCGACCGGGACGGTAACCGCTCACTCTCAGCTCCCGTGGGGCCGCGTCCCGTCCGCGGGGACAGTGTGGGGAGGCCCCCAGGAACAGCGGGTGACAGCATGGCCGACCAGGATGGTAACCACTCACTCAGCTCCCGTGGGGCCGAGTCCCGTCCGCGGGGACAGTGTGGGGAGGCCCCAGGGACAGCGCGTGAGGGTCTGAGGCCTGGGCTGCACTCGCAGCCCTGCTGCCAAAGGGCGATGCTGTGCTGCCCCCCAGGCAGGGGGCTCCCCTGACAGAAGACCCTGAGCTTCTGTCAGCCGAGGGGCTTCCTTCGCAGCTTCGTCTTCTCGGGGCCCAGGCTCCTCATTTCTGCGCGAGCCTGGTTGCTAGGTGTTGAGGGCCCCGGGCCAGGCTCTGCGGGAAGGATATGGGGGTGCGGGAGCGGTTACATGGAAGGAGAGAGAGTGCTCATTCCACTAGATCGCCCCCCACCCCCCGCAGGGTCACGGCGAGGGGCGTGTGTGTCGGGCAGCTGAGCGCTGTGCGTCTGTCTGTGTCATTACCACCCACTGAGCACAGAGGGCGCGGGGAGGCGGGTGTGGGCCTTGCTCGGGCTGTGTCCTCTCGCCAGTTTTCTTCACTCTTGGCCCCAGAATTCCCTCAGAAATAAAACAAAATGATGACACCGTTGAGAGCAAAAGAGGCTTTAACTTGTAGGAATCAGAAGTGAAATCAGTCCAGATGCTGGCAGTTCCCCTTCCCTGGGCTGCAGGTGTGAGATGGCGCAGGCGGGCGGGCAGCAGCGGGTGGAGAACTTGACCCTGAGCCGCGCCCTTCCTGTCCGCAGGTGGTCAGAACGGCTTCAACATCCCTCAGGTGACCCCGTGCCCCGAGGTCCGGGAGTACCTGAAGATGTCGCCGGAGGACCTGCACTCCCTGGACTCGCGGCGCATCCAGGGCTGCGCGCGCAGGCTGCTGTGCGACGCGTACATGTGCATGTACCAGAGCCCCACCATGAGCCTGTACAAGTAGCGGCAGGTGCAGAGCCGCCCCGCATGGCCTCCT